TGAGAAGGAGTTTATACCATACTTTTCACAAGAAGGTTCACTGGTTTATTGCAACGATATTGCTAAATTAATACTATTGCTAGAAGCTGCAGTCAATGAACCAAGTGAGTGGCGATTGTTCATTGATTCCTCCAAAATAACTCTATATGGTGTTATCCTTCACAATGGTAACATATATGCATCTGTTCCTATTGCTCATTCGGTTCACTTGAAAGAAACGTACGAAAATCTCGAACTTCTTCCTAATAAGATCAAATACAAAGAACATGGTTGTCTACTTTGTTGAGACTTAAAAGTCCTTTGTATGTTGTTGGGTCAACAATCCGGTTATACAAAGTTTCCATGTTGTTGTTTTTTTCTGTGAATGGGACAGAAGTGCATGAAATCAGCATTGGATAAAGAAGCAATGGCTACGCAGAGCAAGCCTGATACCAGGATAGAAAAACATTGAACATGAAAGTTTGGTTGGCACAAAGAAAGTCCTATTACCTCCACCTCACATAAAACTGGGCTTGGTGAAGCAGTTTGTAAAGGCCTTAGACAAAGATCTATGTTGGTAATTCCCAGCTCTTTCAAAGGCGAATATGAAAGGAAGGATATTTGCTGGGTCTCGGATAAGGAAATTGATTTCGGATGAACATTTCGAAAGTACCATGAGGAAAGTTGAAAAAGAAGAGTATATAGCCTTTAAAGATGTTATTGTTTAGGAAACAACAAGGACCCAAATTACGAAAATTTTGTCAATAATATGCTCAATAAATTCAAAGAGTTCGGTTGTAGTATGAGCTTGAAACTTCATTTCTTACACTTACAATTTGACTATTTCCCTGAAAATCTCGGTGCTGTCAGCAAAGAATAAGGGAAAAGGTTTCATCAAAACATCAGGGAAATGGAGAGGAGATATCAGGGAAGGTAGAACATCAGCATGATGGCTGCTTACTGCTGGTCATTGAAACGAGATGCTCCAGACGCAATACATAAAAGAAATACCACGATACGTAGTTTTGAGACTAAAAGATGTAGATTTCACACAAAAAATCTGGATGAATCAGGATGCATATTCGTTTGACATCAAAGTTCATCCCTTTTTTTCAATTTGTTTGTATTTTTGTCAACAAACCTAATAATACAAATGTTCATTGTGGTAAATTAAATCATAATTTGATCTAAGTAAGAGTTTTTTCTTCCTGATTTGTAAATAATCCTTATGTGATAGAAAAGGTGAATATTATTTTCGAAACCTTTGAAGCTGAATTATGGAAAAAACCACTTTTTATGACTCGCAATCTGCGGGTCGCGGGTTCGAATTCCCGTCACACCAAACATGCTCGCCCTTTCAGCCGTGGGGGCGTTATAATGTGACAGTCAGTCCCATTATTTGTTGGAAAAAATTATCCCAAGAGTTGGCGGTGGGTGGTGGTGACTACCTGCCTTCCCTCTAGTCTTACACTGCTAAATTAGGGACGGCTAGAGCAGATAGCCCTCGTGTAGCTTTGTGCGAAATTCAGAACAACAAACAAACAAATATCAGAAGCAAACAACCATTCTATTTTTTGTTGCAAACGAATTCAATTATATGTAAATGTGCTAAACCTATTAGACTAGCAAAACCGGCATTCATATAACTAACTATATGTGGAATTTAATATCTCAGTTAACTAGTTTTTCTCCATTTCAAGCAAATTTACGCCTTGCTTATGCAGAAGCAATATTACAACCTTAAAGTAATTCAGGAATTTGTGGATATTTTCTCTCACTAAAAGAGTTGTTATAGTAACTTTGATAACTGGAATGTACATGTTTAATACGGTTTGGTATGGTTTGAATTTTGCGCAAAGCTTCTCAAGGGGCTATTCGCGCTAGCCATCACCAATTTAGGAGTGATATAATAAAGGTAAAGCAGCTAGTCAACACCACCCACCCCCCACCCCCACCCCCAACTCTTAGGCTACTATTTTATCACCGAATTGTGGGATTCACCGTCACGTTGTATCGCACCCACGGCTGAAAAGGTAGGCATGTTCGGTGAAGAGGATTCGAACCCGTGACCTACAAAATGCGAGTACAGTGTCCTAACCACCAGACCATGACAGGCCCATTTACTTAAGCCAGAACAAGAGAAGTAGACGAAACTTAAGTTAAGTTAAGTATAAGCTAACCTTTTACAGCAATTTTGGCTCTATAATTGTTATATACTTAAGCTGAAAATAGTTCTTGAGCCTAAGCAGTTTTATTTTTAAATTAATAGTTAAACTCCTAATTTGTTTGTGTGTGTGTATGTGTATTCTACGTTAAAACTAGAATGAAAGCTGACTAGAAATAAGTATATATATATATATATATATATACTGTATTAATAGGAATTAATATACTGTGTCCGTAAGCGTAATGAGGGATTATTATTTCCATTTCGCCACCTACGATACCACGCTAACGGTGGCGAAACTTCATGTCCTGTGCTTTGGTTTTCTTTTTATTCCCGTTTTTAATCGTTGATATTTTGAACTTTAAAATATACTTTCAAGCATACTTTTTACATACAATTTATTGTTTTGTTTCAGTAAAATTAGCCAAGCGTTGAAATGGACGTATCAATTTTTTTTTCCATTAAATGATGATTGTAACTACCCGTGGATGAAACCTTTACATTGATGCTGATTTTCTTGACATGTGCCTAACATAAATTTTTAAACTTGCAGAAATATTAGAATTACGGCCGAAAACCTAAAAGGCAACTGTGCTCTTATAACCGTATGATGCAGTTAAGTTTTTATATCATCTAACTGATTTGCTTTCTATGTAGTTGATAGATTTAATTATTAATACATCGTATTCCTAGCTCTGCTGCCTATGCTTTTAAACTAAATCTTAACAGCAAAGCTAAGTCTAAATTGATATATTGTAGATATGTATGCTCTAAATAAGTCTATATTAATCTGAATTTCATTCTATTCCGTATTTTTATTGCACTAGTCAGTTAGCTTCTATTCAGAAGATACTCATATCAGAAGAGGGTAAGCTGTTAAAGTC